AATCCAGAATATCGAGACTCAACAACTCCTTCTTGCCCACTGCCATCAGACTCTTGAACAGCTGACCCATTTTGAACAGTAATAATAATTTTTTGCACATCAGGTCATCTTACATATTATACATAATATAGAAAAAAATATAATGCGTAATATAATATTGCACAAAGCAATATTATATTACGTATTATATTTGCACTTAAAATAAATAGAAGAATCAAAGGGCAATTCTATCTGATATTAAACCCAAACTCTGAACATAACCTGCTCCTGACCAGATTATGTGCATATGTTACCGTGGTGATTTAGCCAGGTATAGACACAGCAAACTGACTTGAAACTCAACAGAGCACGCTAAGCCATTGAGCTCACTTCATTAAACTCGGTTCAGTGAAGACAAGATGAAGTACAGACAACAAGAAGTCAGAACTGCATTAAATTCAGTCCTTTGTTTGTGGTGGTGCATCCTGCTGGTCCGGTTTCACTAAATTCTTAAAGTTTAATGGTTATATGAGCACATGAAGGTCGACTTTGGCTGAAAAAAAGTTTTCTCACTGAAAAAAACAAACTATAGCTTTATTAAGTAGACCACAGCTATTAGAATCAGATTAACTGACCCTTTGCAAGAAATTAGACACAAAGTTGTGGAGAATTATTTGTAAAAAACAAACTCAGTGATGACTCAACCTTAACATACCTAAAGTTACAGAACATTAAAAAACTCAAATAACTGACTAAGTTACAAAACAATAAAATAAATTAATAATAATTAATTTTCCCCAAAAAGGTTAAATACTTTCAATTTGAAAATATTCTGAAATAGTCAAACAATTATAACAAGTTGTGTTCAGAGGTTTAAAATATAAAAAATTAAAAAGAAAAAAGTTTTATATTTATTTTTTGTATTATTTCCATGACACAATCTGAATTTCTGAATCATTCCAGGTTTATTATTAATTACTAATTATAAAATACTAAATTATAGTAAATTATAAATATAAACTAATATAAATGACAAAAATAAAACACTCACGGTATATTTCAGAATGATTTAAGGTATGGTTTAAATTATACATCAAGGATTTCCTAAAATCTTGAGATATCAAAGGAAATCCAGGACCTGGCAGCAGGTAAAACACCTCAAGATAAAAATCAGAACAGGCTGACATCAGAATTCATTTTTGTGACTTTTTATTAATTAAAAACAATCTAGCAGAACAACATTTAGTCTGTAACTGTAACACACACTCACTCCAGCGCTCGCGCGTCATCATGTGACTGATGACTGCACAAACTAAGGGGAAATTTGTACTTTTGTGTTAAATCTATGTCGTAGGCTCTACATAGATTCAGTGCACATGTATAAATTCAACATCAGGCAACAGGAATTCATTATGTTTGAGCCATGAGGTACAGAGTTCAAACTGTGCCAAATCACACATCCGTCAAACACACAGTCACATTAGGAGTTAGCTCAGAGTGTTTGTAACATAAATCATGTGATTAAAATAAAGAATACAGACAGAAAACTGGTTGAAATAACATGACTGATTGGCCAACGCTCATTAAAACTCCTCTTCCACTTTCAAGTTTAGTGTGATTTTTATTTTTTAACCTCTTACTTTACTTTTATATTATGCATTAATATATTTTTTCTAAAGTAAGTTAAATTGACTTTATAGTGTTTTCATCAAAATGTTTTGCTTTCATTACAGATTTCAATTAAAGTTGCTTTACAATTTAGTATTTTGAAAATATTA